TGTTTTTATTGATCCACAGCCATTTTCAAACTGCTGTCAGGCAGCATGAAGGAAACACTGTTGAGCCTTAAGATCTCGGCAGTCATTTGTAGGAACAGAGTGCTCCAGATGTATTAGCAGTCACAGAGCTGGATGGCTTTGGATGAGCTGGGATGCAGCCTCCGAGATGCCATGCAGATACTGCTAGAGGAGGAGGAGAACGATAAAACTGAGCAGTTACTTCTGCATCATATTTCCATTGAGTGGATTCACTTGGTGGAGTGCCACTTCTGTGCTCAGCCCACCAGCATGACAGGTGGGCTAGGGCTGTGATGCAGAGCTGTGATGACCACCTGTGGCAGCAGAACTTCAGGAAGCAGAAGTATTCCTGGAGATCTTTGCAAAGCTCACTCCGGACTGCAGCAGCAGAACACCAACAGGTGAGTTCCATCCGGGGTTGAGAAGAATGTGACCACAGCCCTCTGGAAGCTCTCCATCCTTGCTCGCAAATTCTCCACAGCTTTGAGAGGGTGAGTACAGCAGAATTAAGCCACGCTCCAGGCCTGTCCCAGACCTACTGACTTCTACTCCATGGAATTCCTACCTTGTGTTGTATCCCCAAAGGGATTCCATAAACTCAAGGAAAAAGAAAGTGCGGCATACCACAAAGCTCTGCCTTTGATTCCATTTGAACATACTGTGAGGTCCCTACGATAGCATGAGGGGAGAAAATGATCAGACCCCAAGTGATCTATTTACTCTAGGGCCTACCTCTGATCTGGGCAAAGGTGTCAATATTATAGAACTGCCTGGCAACAATGTCAGTAAACTCTTCCTTTCTTGATTTTTCTCACAATGTTTTTAGTTAAATGCCAATCTGATAATCTCTCAGAAGTATCCCATCAAATATACCAGTGATTAAATGTGGGGAACAGCTGACCAAGATGAAAACAATAAGAAAAATTAGCACTGAAGGACAGGCCCAATGGTTTGGAAATCACTTACATAATGTTTTCTAGTATTCATTCACACAAGAAAGTGTCACAATTCAACACAGCTGATGTAACTAGCAGTAAGAAAAAGTCTATCTAAGCCAAGTCTGAGTGATGCTGAGGGTCTGCCCAGAAATATTCTTCAGTGTTGAAATCCTCACTCCAACATGACCACATGTGAAAGCAGCAACAGTGAAATCAGGCCTTTGCCTTGAGAAGCATCATTACCAGTAAAGAAATATGGCTTGCATAAGAAGGATCCAGTCCCACAACCCTTGTTTGTGTGAGTAGTCCTGTCTCACCCAAGCAGTCCCATTGAAATCAATGGGACTGCTTGGGTGAGTAAGACTACTCTGATAAGAGCAGCTGGATCAGACCCTAAGGTGCTCAATTTCCATAATCAACTGGAAGCTGAGGATACTCCACACCTTGCAGCTCACAATCCTGACTGGGAAAAAATACAACCAAGAACTAGAAGAATGGAACTACTCTCTGACTTACTAAAAAAAACAAGAAGGCCTCCCAATTTTCTAGTGTTTGTCCACCAGATATTACCTGATTTGATCTTATCCAAAAGACAGAAGAGTCCAGTTAGGCTCTCTCTTTATATTAAATTATTCTGACCGGAATAATAACTAGACACAAAATATCCCAGTGAATGTATGCATTGTTATAAGACACTTTTCCTCACAGATTTTAGTTCTGCTTACTTAATCATTCATGCTTTGTCCATGAATATGAAAATACCTTGATCACTATGCAGTAAGAGTCATCTTGGCACCATCTGTTTATATTTGAGATCTGAACCTTGTAAATAATAAAATGTACTTTGCTCACAAACTCATAGTTCCTAGCAAGAGAGTAGTTATAATTGATTAAAAGTACAGTATTGAAGGTATTACTGGCAGCAAAATTTTGGTCTCTGTCCACTGAAAGGATTGCTTCCTTCCCATTGTCTACCTTGTAGGAGACTAATATATAAAGTCACAGGATCATTATCTGTATATTACTCTATTTGTACTGATAATGTGCTTGGCACTGTACAATAATCAAAATAAAGATAGGCCCTACCCTGAAGAGCAGTTCACAGCCTACTTTTAAGCCTCTTCACCTTCCCTGAAGACCCCAGAACGAATGAGTGAGCTTGTTTACAGGTCTATAGCTCTAAAAGTAATGCAGCGGGCTTTCCTTATACCTCTAAAATAGGCATCATAGCTCTAAAAGAAGGCAAGGAGCACCTAAGGGCATCCGTCTTTCATAACCACAGAGCACACAAACTGGAAAGAGTTAGGTCTCCTGTATCAGGCTCCCTGGGTACACACAATTGGATGAAAATATAGCCGTGGTATAGCGGTTAAAAAAAGAAGTGAGTAAACTAACCTAAACTAAACTCCATGTTACCCAAATGAGAAGTGAGTAAGCTCACTTTACCCTTGACTACACTACTAGGGACAGTTGTGGATGTTTTAATAGAATGATCCTGTTTGATGGATCAGGATTATGTGATCTGGCCCAGACTAATCAGGCCTCAAGAGGGGATGGGAGACAAGACTTTTTGCAGGGTTGGGGTGGGATTTTGTATGGGAGTCACAGCTTTTGAGCAACAACAGGATCTACCAAGAAGGAAGAGTCTTCCTCATCAAGAGGGACCTGAACATAGGATTTATACCCTACCCTCCTAAATGGGACTGGCCCAAAGGGAAAAGCACACTCTTATGAGTTGGGTGAAACATTATGGATTGAGTTTGAACCAATCCAAATTGTGTGACTGAGTCCTCCATTTAAGACAGTTGTAAAAGATAGTTAAGGAGCCACACCTAAAACAAAACCTAATAGAATCTGCCCAGAAACTAGCACCAGGTGAGTGGAGGGTTCGCCTGGGTCTTGTGACAAACTTGGGGAAATGTTCGGGTGGAGAGGAACACACAGAAAACTGAAATGATGGTTTGGAAGAAACCTAGAGAGAGGTTTTTGGGATCAGAGTGCATGCTGAAAAGAGCACTCTCCGTGCTCTGAGCAAAAGAAACTATTTCCTGGTACTTGATTCCTTCTGTGTTTAGAGATATAGGACTTTGCACATTCTTTGTAAATAAACAAAACTTAAAGAAATATCTGACTATCACCAACTTCTACTCCCAGCTGGACACCCACAGGACCAGAAACTTTGACTAGCCAAGTAGGTTAGAAAAGGGGCAACAATAGGTTGATCATTTTAAGTGCTTTAATTCTCATAGCCAATTTTAAAATGAGGAATTAGTTGCCAAAGGAGGGAAATTTTACAGGAGGCAAAGCTGAATATGATTATTCATATCAGTGAAGTTTAGACAAGTGTATTACAAAATATCTATACAACGGAGGGGTCGAATGGAGATCTGAACATGCTATTGGCCACCCTACACCGCATTAAAAATACCTTACATCTCTTAGGCTACCCATTAAATAACAGATAGTATGTCCTGTTAATTGTTAGTGTGTTCTGACCTTAGACTTTGACCAGGTATTTAATAACACCATCTGCTGTCTGCGTCTGCAATACTGTTATTTTTACATATGGATTACTCTTCTGTCTTCAAAAACAAGGCTGTAATAACAGTGCTAAATGGTAGCAGAACCAAATGAGATTTAAATTACACCGTCCAAGTAAAACATGAAGGGAGAACAGAACACCAAAAATACATCAAACTTATTTTACTGGCTTAAATCTAAAAATCCTATCTTGCTAGAAGGTTGATTAGCTGTAGCTCAAGTCTTGCTGTCCTTACTTGGGGAAAAGTCCTATTGTTTTGCCTGAGAGAGGACTGTGGGTGAAATTTACCCCTGTGCAGGCTGCCTGCACACACCCTGCATTACTTGAGTCCTCAAAATAGGCTGACCCTTTGGACAGAGGTGAAGTTCACCCTGGAGGATGAGCTCTTTACTCTTTATTTGCATGCCCTCTCCTCCCCACCCCCCCAAATCAACCCAGCAAATAATATTTTAAAGAGACACTGTTGAGTATTTTAGGCCACAAATAATTAATCACTTGAAATTCAAATATTCCTCCTAATTATATCTATAATGGTATTTGGTTTTTAAAAATACATGTATTTAGCTCTGAATGACCAACTTTATAAGAGCCCACATATGCAAAGGCCCCAGTCCAGCTCTCATTGAAACTGATGGGACTTTTGTCATTGCTTCTAGTCTGGGGCAGGATCAGGTGCAAAAAGAATTGTGCATTTATCTATTGCTTCAGGGTCTTATATGTAGCGTTGCCAACTCTCAATTTGATTGCATATCTCACAATATTTGGGATTTTCCTTAAAACCCAGCTCCTTGAGTGAAACACTGACCCTACTGAAGTCAATAGCAAAACTTCCCTTGACTTCAGTGGGTCAGACTTTCACTCCAGAATTGTGTGATTTTTGTGAGCGTCCTTTTTTGTTTTGCTTTAATAAAAGCTGAAAGTGCCTAGCCCTTACACTTGTGGAGAAAAGCTTGAAAACCTTAAAGGCTTAAAAAACAGAAGGCAAATTAAAAAAAAAAATCCCAAGGTGATTTATTTTTTAAAGTCAATTTCATGATGTTTAGGGAACCTGAATGTTTTGTCATTGGCAATACTGCTAATCACTATAGTATCTCAGTGTGTATGCACTGTAATAATGAATCATGCATCCTCTCTAGCTTTATTTGTGCGTGAGACCTACCAAAAGTGCTTTGCCTTTTTTCCTACTGAAATGGAGAGGTTAACTTTTAAAACCAAACATATGAATCTAATCCGGAGGGTATGTAAAATATGGGGGCTGAACTATTTGACAGCATTTGAAAGACGCATGTCTTGACATGTTTTCTATTAGAAAGGATTTTAAGCATTACAATCTGTCAAATGAGGTATCTGGTTACATCTGAAAAGGGGTTCTTACCTTTTCCTCCCACTATATTCAGGAGGAAGGCATCTAGAAGTCTGATTCTGAAGCCCTAATGAACAGACACACTGACTTATTTTATAAATATGTGAAATGATGTATGTCTGTCTTTTTTCCCCTGTAGTTGCTAGTTTTGGAAGAAGAGTTGAAAAAAACCTAAGCAGATTCTTTACATATTTACTCTGCATCAAATTCTGAATCATAGAAATGTGTAAGTATATTTATGTATGTTATCTAACCTCAATTCAAATACACTAGTGGAGCATGTTATGTTGGGTTTGGCATTTATAAACAGCCTAGCTATAATTTCCATAACTGTTGTAAAATAAAATTTGTATAAATTACAAGCAATATATAAAATCTAGGCAGAATTTATTTCTAAAAATATCTGTCACTTTGTGTACCCTGCATACAATTTACCTCTTGTGCATGTTCTTTTAAATCTGTTCATGGGGAGTATTACACTACCTGTGAGCAACTAGGAACTTGTACAAAGATGCAAAAAGTCTTGGACCAAGTTTCCAAACCCTGCTGACCTATTCAGCAAAAAGTCTGCCAATGCATGGAACTCTTTTAGTTCTTGTAAGCAAGCTCTCTCATCAACATGCTTCTTTCCAGCTTGTGTTGGCCTTTCCAGTATGGTCCGTTCCAAAGGAAGAGGGGCTTGAGCACATTATGTGATTCACTATAATGTATATGATATATTTTTCAAAGTTACTTAACAAAAGGTTGGACTCCTGGTGACATAGTTCTCCTTAAGCATGTACACACACTACAGACAGCAGTTTAGACATGCTGGACTGGGATTCCAGCTCTAGCCAAGCAAGCATGATGTTCTCAAATGCTGTGGTGATCTGTTAGCTACGTAACCTTTTGACCTTGTGTTGAATGGCATTGTTTCTGATCTCACTGGGCCAATTTCACCCCGGTTTAAGTCCAGTAGTTTCAGTAGAGTAACGCTATGGAGGAATGTTGACCAATGTGTTTCAGGGTTGGAGCACCCACGGAAAAAAAATTGGTGAGTATTGAGCACCCACCGGGAAGCCTCCTTATCAGCGCCTCCTCCACCCCCCAGTGCCTCCTGCCCACCATGGCTCTGTTGTTCTGTGGCGTGCAGGAAGTGCTGGGGGGAAGGGGAGGAGCAAAGATGGGGCACGCTTAGGGGAAGAGGCAGAACTGGGCAGGAAGCTGTGGGGGAGGGGGTGGAACTGGTTGGGAAGAGGCGGGGCAGGGTGAGGTGGGGTGGGAAGAGGTGGGGTGGGGCCTTGGGGGAAGAGGTGAAGTGGAGGCAGGGCCTGGGGCACAGCTGGGGGGAGCATCCCCTGGCACATTAGAAAGTCAGTGTCTATGCCAGCACACTAAAATGGTGAGGACCCTCGCCACTGGGATATTCTGATGTGGGTCTCTCTGTCTCTCCTGTTGAACCTGTTCCACTTTGGATAAACATTGAGCGTTGCAACACCTAAGTTCCTTTGTGGATCCGGGCCAGGGTGTATCGCGAATGAGGTGGAGGATTCCAGGAAGAGAAAAGAGTCTCATGGTGAAGACAACTGAATGCTGCCCTGGAGAACTGAATTCTATCACTGCTCCTGCCACAGTTACTATGTGATGCTGGGCAAACTACTTAAAAAAGCTTTTCACAGGTAATCACTAATTTTGTGTTCCTTATTTTCTGGGTATCCAACTTGGGACTCAAAGGTCTGCTTTGCAGAAGTGCTGAGCACTCACAGCTGCTGCTGAAGTGAATGGGAGTTGTCTTTTGAACATATGAAATGTATATGATGTTAAGTACTCAGAAAAATCAGGTACTAATTATCTCAAATTGGGCACCCAAATTTAATCTCTCTGCATCAGTACCCTCTCTGTAAAATGGGGACACCACCACCCAGGGGTGCCAGAATAGGGGAGGCCAATCGGGCCATGGCCCACCCACTTTTTACCGGCCATAAGGGCAAGCGACTAGGCAGAGGGGGCAGAGAGGAGCAAGTGGGGAGCAGGGTCTTGGGAGGAAGAGATGGCATGGGAGCAGGGCCTCAGGGGAAGGGGTGGTGTGAGGGAAGGGCCTCGGGGAAGGGGTGGGGCCTCGGGGGAAGGGGTGCCGCAGGAAGGAGGGGCCATGGTTTGGGCACCTGTGGTCCCCTCACCTTTAGGGATCTTCTGCCGCTCCTGACTCCCCTTCCTCACTTCACGGGGGTTTAATGTTTGTGAGGTAGTGAGATACTATAGTAGTGAGCACCATACAAAAGCCTATGACAAAGTTAATAATTCTGTGTTCAGAGCAGGATTTGAATAGTCTGCTGTAAATAAATCCTAGGGCCACATATTGAACAATTAGCAGAAAACAAATATTGAATAGCTGTTCATTAAGTGAACGCCCTCCATTCTATGCACTGAATAAAGCTGGGGTCCCAGGAACAGAATAGTATGTGATCATATAATTAAAGACTGAATCATAATCCATACACACAAGGAGCCAAATTAAGGTTGCACAGGCAACTTGAATTCTGGCATTTCCTATCTTTTGAATACTTGACTTTGCAGCCTTAATAATGTTCCTTTAACAGGTGTGTGTGCGGCATACTATATAATATGGGCTAAATCCCGCCCTAACTACTAATATAATATATAATATGGATAATATGGGCTAAATCCTGCTCTAGCTAGTGCAGGTGAGAGCAGAGATGCACACACTCTTTGCTCTCACCCGGAATTCTGGAGTCAGGATTCTTCTTGGCCAGTTGGGGCCTTGTGCTGTGGCGTGCACTTCATTGGGGAGAGTTTGTTGGAAAGGTAATCCAGCTGGAGGCCACAGGACTGGTGTTGGGATCGATGTGTATCACTCCCACACTTCTCATAGCCAGCTCATTTCAAAGTCCCTTTTGCCATACTGATCCCTGGATCAAGAAAGGGAGGATGTGTTACCATGGAATTGGCTGAATCCCTCTTCTTCGGGTGTGTCCCCCTCCAGAGATGGTTCCTTGGGATACTAATATTATGTAATTACACACAAAAATTCTAACTGAAGGCTGAGTCAGGCAGCAGCTATTACAGAGATGTTTCTGAGAAGCTCCAAACATTTTTTTATTTGGTCTGAATTTTTTTTCTTAATTATAATGTGTGCGGTGTTACATTTAGCAATACTAGTAACTGGTGGAGGGGAAGTAGATGACTCAGGGGATTGGTAATGAGATACACAGCCTTTCACCGTGTGTCAGCAATTCAAATCCAGCTCAGGTCATTAATGTTGAGACGTTATTGCCTTCTAAAGTTGTTTGATGCCCTGTGTGGAACGAGTTTGGTGGCATTAATCCACTTCCTCAGGTACAAAAATCCCCACCATAAAAAATGTCTCTACTCTGGCCTCCACTACAGTTTGCTACTCTTGATAGCAGTCTCTGAGGAAAAGCTAATGAATGAAAAGACATAGACACTGCACTACTCTCTCACCCTTACTGATCTTGGTAAATCACTGTGGAAATATGTGTCCACCATGTAGTTGTGTTACTGATACAAGGGTTCAGTCCTAAGGCTGTCAGCCTAGCGCTTTTCACCAGCACTTCTTTCTGCACCAGTCAAATGGCACGTTAAGCCCACTGAATAAAAGTGAATCCTGGAGCCTACCCTGCACACCTAATTCAATCCTCCACACAGTAAATATGAAGATGCTTTTGACGTACAGGTACTGAGGCTGCACAGACACTAATGCAAGGACAATCTGCGCACAGTCCTCCAGGCAAACCCAATATAGGGGGAAACAAGTGATGTGGAGAGTCCATCCTTGGTGACATAATCCTATAGCTAAAGCCCAGAACTGGGAGATCTGAGGGTTGGTTTTTTTACCAGTTCTGCCAAATACTCTGTGTTACCTTCAGTAAGTCATTTAATTTGCCTGTGCTTCCATTTCCTCATCTGTAAAATGAGACTAACACCTACATACCTGACAGGGTATTATGCAGCTAAGTTAACTGCATTATCTTTATTATTATGATATACTGGTAATGTGCAAAATATCATTAGTTATCATTATTAATTTTGCATGTATTAATTATAATTCCTATCAGTGGCCTCCTTACAGTGGTCAAAGTGAGCAAGAGTGCTTACTGTGGTGGTTTTTTTAAACTGGAAAAAGCATGATGGAAACAATGAAGTAGTAGCTGTTTTCAGAAGTTAGAAATATATCATGAAATGCCTTAACAGCTGAATATTTTTACCTATCATAGTTGCACACATTATGTAATATTACTGAAGGAGAACAGGGATAACAATTCTGTCTTTTAAATTTATTTTGTCTATTTGACAGCACTTCAAGTAAAATTTTTAAGAGTATCTAATTGATTTAGAAGTCTAAGCCTCACTTTAAAAAGTGAGTTGGGCACTTAGGCCCAAATCCTCTACGTATGTAAGCAGTGCTTAATGTGTAATGAAAGAGGTATTGGGGCTCAAGCAATTTTTTTACATTCATAATTAATGCAGCAAACCCAGAGGTGCCAGGACTATGAACTGCCAAGCCTAGATGTGCCATGGCTCAGCCTGGCAAGCCCTGGCACAACTTAAGCACTGTATGTAAGTGTCTAACTCCCATTGATTTCAATGGGTAGAGAGAGACCAACATTTAAACAAATAGAAAAATGTGATTGTAAAACCACAAAAAAATTGGCAGGGAGAAACAAGGCCAAGGTTAGTACCTGAAACTATCCTTAACTTTTCTTTTAATTGGACTAGATTTCAAGCTGATGGTGGTCCCTTTAAAGGTTTAAATTGCTGTACTCTGTGCAGTGTTTGAGTCTGCCCATATACAGAGGCCAATGGGGAGGAACATGTTCATTCTAGCTGGTCTGGTGTGGAGCTGACAACCAGCTCAACTTCACTGCTTCAGGGGGACATTTTGGAAATACTGGAACCTCCACACTGCAAACAGCGTTAATGGTTCTGGCACAAGCCTTGAGAGGGTTTTGGCCTTGGCTCAGGTATTTTAGACTTTTATTATATGTGAGGGTCTCTGTTCAAAAAGGTTTCAGAGGAACAGCCGTGTTAGTCTGTATTCGCAAAAAGAAAAGGAGTACTTGTGGCACCTTAGAGACTAACCAATTTATTTGAGCATGAGCTTTCGTGAGCTACAGCTCACTTCATCAGATGTATACCGTGGAAACTGCAGCAGACTTTATATATACACAGAGAATATGAAACAATACCTCCTCCCACCCCACTGTCCTGCTGGTAATAGCTTATCTAAAGTGATCATCAGGTGGGCCATTTCCAGCACAAATCCAGGTTTTCTCACCCAGGAGAGTGAATTTGTGTGGGAGGGTGGAGGGTGAGAAAACCTGGATTTGTGCTGGAAATGGCCCACCTGATGATCACTTTAGATAAGCTATTACCAGCAGGACAGTGGGGTGGGAGGAGGTATTGTTTCATATTCTCTGTGTATATATAAAGTCTGCTGCAGTTTCCACGGTATACATCTGATGAAGTGAGCTGTAGCTCACGAAAGCTCATGCTCAAATAAATTGGTTAGTCTCTAAGGTGCCACAAGTACTCCTTTTCTGTTCAAAAAGGATCCACATGGACAAAGTGTTGCAAAGCCTGAAATCTCCACAACACTTTAGGAACGTACTGGCATAAACTGCTCCTGGATATTGTATTTGTGTTGGTCGAGCATAATCAGCTTTTATATTTGTCCCTGACTGCCATTAAATGGATGCTGTCTTTTCCTTTCAATAATTTCATGTCCTACATAGTATTTTGACAAAGGATAGGGTGTAGGCTTGGGACAAAGATTAATTGTTTGTTAGTTGTATTCAGGCCAAACTTGGAGTTCTTAACAAAAAAAAAATTGCGCCTGCCAAATGATAATCTTACTTCTGTGTTTTGGTCTCAGTTTGTAACAGGCTTCCTGTGAAATTCTTGTCCTTTTTCCATTTTCTGTGGGGCATTTAGTAGCCTATTGAACTAATGTGGGTATAAAGCAATGAACACAGCTACAGCTATGTCATAGAGGGGTCACAAATTCCATGACTTCCTGTTTATTTTTAAAAGGGGTCACTGGGGTCACCGTTGTCCCTCCACCCCTCACATCAGGAAATCCAAAGCCAGGGTACACTCCATCCGCTTTCAGATCTCAACAAATCCTATTTGTTGATTGCATTTTTGGATGCAGAGGAGCAAGGCGAAGTGTAAGGATAAGAGAATGTGACATTCCCTATTTATCAATCTGAGAAAAACTGTTAGAAGTTTGACTTATCAATTGTCCTCATTTCTGGCACCTGGAAACATTGCTCATAAGTCTCTATTTTTAATTGGATTGTAGTAACCTCTGAACTTCTCTAGTATTTTCATAATCCTGTCCCTTCCTGGCAAGACACATTGTAAATATCTGTTGCAGCTGACTCTCTAACACAGAGGAATAAGGTCATTTTGCTAGATTTTTCAACTGTGCTACTTGAAAATGAAAAAAGTCAGCTGCTGGATTAAAAACAAAATTAATTAAAAGGTTTAACATTTTCCATTCTCTCCAACAAACGCATTTTGCTCTTACAAATTTTGCTGCAGACTACCTCAGCAGGCGCACAGTAGTCTGCTATACATTGCAGGATTGGGTATTTAGTTTTTTTACATTGTATCTCCCTGAAAATTAGCATACTCATATATATGCATGAATACTTTTTTAAAGGAAAAATCATAAAAAAAATTAATAAACCATAAAAAAATCATAACAAAATAAGGAAAGACTTAGCATCTCCATATTTCAGGCCTTATCTGTGGACAAGTGGCGTATCAAGGCCTTCCTGATGTTTCCTTTTCATAAATGTCTTGCAAACATGGTATCCTATATCCACTAAGAAATTATTCCAAAAAAGTCCCTCATAGCAAGCTTCAAAGAGTCAATACCAGGGTTCCATATAAAGTAAAAAGCTGACATCAAACTTCTGTTTGGATTTTTTTCTGATTCTCTGACACATTTTCTTCCAAACTGAGCTAGTGTGATGACCTTAATCTCGTCTTTTGGCATTTTATTTTGTATCCAGCGTCTCCTTTAACTTCTGCTATACAATACATAGAAACATCCAACATAGTGATTATTAACAGCTTTTAAAAATATAAGCCTGATCCTGTAAACACACACACGTGCTTAATTTTAAGCACAAATAGTTCCATGGGAATCAATGGTAGTGTTCATGTTTGAAGATTAGCACGTGTGTTTAGGCCCTGATCCTGCAAACAGTTAAGATCACATGCGGCTTTAAATTCACTGGGACTACTCACATGCATAAAGTTACAAGCGCACATAAATGTTTGCAGGATGAAGGTCTCACTATGGGCCTATTCTAAAGCTCATTGAAGTAAATGGCAAGATTCCCACAAAGTGAGCTGTAGCTCACAAAAGCTTATGCTCAAATAAATTGGTTAGTCTCTAAGGTGCCACAGGTACTCCTTTTCTTTTTGAGAATACAGACTAACACGGCTGCTATTCTGAAACCACTGACTACAGCGGGCTTTGAATCAGGCCCTATGTCCTTGCTATGCTATTAGAAAAGGACATAATAAGATAAGACTTACTCTTGTCAGTACTTCCACTGAAGTCAGTGACTAAAGCTGGCAGGATGTGACCTAGATTTTACTTTCTAAAAATTTATTTTAAAAATCTCACAGGCATTTTGTGACACAGAGCAGCAAGTCCAGTGTGGCTATTTTAAGCTGCATCTTTGAATGTAGTACTTTTCATTTTAACCTTGGCTGTGCTGTTATTTTACCAAATTCAACTTCCCTCACAATGAGGCCCCTTCAGGACCGTTTGGCATTTGTCTCCGCAGTGGATGTTTCTTTTTCACTAGAAAAGTTTGCTGAAATGTTTCCTTAGGAATTAGTTTCAATTGAATGAACAGCATGTAACATTTGCTGCCTCACTAGTGCTGCAGCGTGAATTGTATATTTCAAAATTTGTAAATAGAAATGTTTGGGGGTTTTTTTTGTTTTTTTTTACAGAAGAACATGGTATTTTAAATGAAAAACAAAACTTCTAAGGTTTCTAAAATGGCCATCACAGCCTCTCTTCTAAGCAGAGTGAGTGGCCATCTATAGGCAAGTCCCTGTGGTTGCTTTAGCTTCTGAATCATTTGGCACATATCTTGCAGTACTTCAATAAGTAAATCACTTTTAAAGTAAGCTTACATTTACCTTTTTCTAATCCTTTCAAGCAACCTAGCACGTTCAAGAACACTGACATTTCTGCCTTGTTATTAAGTCAATGGGAGTTTTGGCTGCAAAGGTTGCCAACTTTCTAACTGTACAAAACCAAACACCCTTTCCCCGCCCCTTCTCCAAGGCTCCGCCCTGCTCAGTCCATCCCCCCTCCCTCTGTCACTTGCTCTCCCCCACCCACCCTCACTCGCTCCCTCATTTTCACCAGGCTGGGGAGGGTCCCTTTTCGACTGAGTGTTCTGGTTGAAAACCGGACACCTGGCAACCCTCGGGAATGGGCCTTAAGTTTTAAACTGAAGTACCTAGTTCTCACAAATGCAAAATAACTGCGTACCCAAAAATATGCATAAATTAAGGCTGTACTTTAATGTCAGGTTTTAGTTGGCCCAACTTGCGAGGCTCTACACTCAACTTGGTGGCATTTCTGTTTATTTGAGTAGTACATGAAAACTTTTGAACACAGCGTTGGATCAATTACAAAATTTCAGAGAATATTTTAGTTCTCAATGGAGAGAACCCTATGGATTTTTAAATTCTGTATAGCTCAACAATTGATGGCACCCATTAACACCTTCCAGCATAACTATCACCCTCCCCATCACAGCTCTGCCCATCCTCCCAATACCACTTACCATGTTGACACTCTGCATTACATATCTCCCAGACAAATAGAAAAGAAATAATAATGGTGGGGAGAAGTTTGGAGCATGGAGGGAATGGGGGGCACACACAGCGCCTGACATGGAGGAGAGAATAGTAAACCCAGGTAGGGGGTGAAGGGGAAATGGGGGACAAAGGAGGAAGTGGGGGAAAAGAGGGAGGATGGTGCTTGACCTACAGTTATGAAGTGTGCACCCCCTAGTGGTGCAAACGAATAATTCAATTACGTCAGCAGAAACCACTGATGAAATAACAGTCTCACTATGCACAATTGAGGGTATATTGTTTTATAATGGGCCATATCCTGCTCACCATGCACCCACAGGCAGTCCTACTGAAATCAATTAAACTGTGAGTAAAGCAAGCCCTCAACAGTTCTCTGCAGGCAACATGGCATTACCACAAACCACCAGTAGGTGTCCACTAGCAGTAACGCTATTCTTCTATATAGTATTACAATAACATAACAATGGGTACTTTAGATAGATTAAGCCCAATGGGCTAGATTCTGTAAAAAAGAAAAAAAGAAAAAGAACTGAACATATCCTTTGTTTGACTTCCATACTAGTAAGGCCATGAAATGATCAGGTTTGGGGAGCTTATAGGACGTGATATAAAACCCACATTTTCTATTTAATCTAGACACTGTTTGAGGAAAATCGTGTTCAGCTTTTTCACGAGTGCTGTAATGTTTCTCTCCCATTTTTCCAGAGTTAACTGGAAGCGATAAAATGATAGTTAAAAACTTAAAATTGCTCATCTTGATTTTCCCAACAAGCTCTGGTTCTTATGGGGGGAAAGTAATCGCAATTTTGCCCTCCAGTTTAAAGCCTGCCACAGCTGAAAGGTTTGCTCTCCCCCCCCCCCCCCCTTTACTAACACCGCAAACTGCTCATGATCGTAAATGCACAAACACTCGTTCTTGGCTCCCAACCAACATATATAAATACATGCAATTTTTCCTTCAAAGAACCTAGAGGCTAAGCAAGAGGGCAAAGGAGTACGTGACTAAAACATCCTAACTTCCTCTTTCATAAGTCATCACATGATGAAGTACAATTACAATTCCTGCCTTGTCTCTGCGAATCGCAGACGCATTGCCTCACCCTAGAAACCCTGCGCTCCTCTGCGAGTGTGTCGGCAGCAATTTCTGCAGCCGGGTTGGCAGGAATCCAATTTCAGTCTGGAGAGAAAGGGCAGTGGGTGGAAGGCAAAAACAAGGATCTGTTTACTTAGTATACATTGATAAAGCTTCTTTAGAAGGAAAAAAAAAGTACCTTTAAAAGAATTTGACACAGTATGAACGGGGAGCTGTTGTGAAGCAGAAAACAAGACGTGTTAACCCTTTTAGCCCCGGGGGGAAAAATCAGGACGGGAGTGTAGTCCAAAAATTAGCCATTTCATTGACAAGCTAACCTCAGGAAAGTCACTAGGGCTGGGCTCCTATACCCATGAAGTTGAAAATATTAACAGATGATTAATGGGAAACTAAAAGAAACTCTCTCCTTTTATGTGTGGGAGAGAGAGGGAGAGAGAGATCCTACAACTAGACCATGTTTTTGAATTTCGTTTATAGCTGACGGGGCAGCCCCAAAAGGGCAAGGTTTGGTTCGAGTGAATGTGCAAGGCGGTGTTTACATTACTCTTGCTTCACTCGGGAAGGATTTACGGGCGGGGAACGGCTTAACCCTTGAAGGGACAGATTGCATTACCTCGGGGGCAAGTGGCGTGTGTGAGGATCTGCGTTATCACCGGCTGCAACTGGTTCGGGAAGTATTACCCCTAGTTCCACGGTGTGTTCGGGGATGAGCGGCGTTGTATCAAAATCCTCGTTGCACTTGCACTGATGTGGGTGGGGGGAAGCGGGTTTTGCATCAACACCGGTTGCACGGCGCGCGCGCGCTGTAGGGGGGAATGACACTGTCGGAAGACGCATTAGCGAGCTGCACCGTTTCTGGAAATCCCCCAGAGCAGAATCATGCGGCGTTTGCATGAAAAAACGCTTCAGTTTTGGGATTAAATATCCTCTGTGTAATTTCAGAACAGGGTTTTTCATGTGACATAAGATCAACACAATTGTTTCTCCGAGGGTGGTTTATTTCCCCCCCCTCCCCGCGCGCTTTTAAAAAAAAACCTTTCAAGGCACCTGGCATTTTCAACAGCAGCACGGTAGAAACCTTAGCAAGATTCCACCCCCCCTGGCCAAGCCAGTAGGGGAGATCATATAATTTACACTCGCCTCGTCCAACAGAGCCAGCTCATTCCAGTCCAAAGAAGAAAGGTTGGGGGTGGGGTGTGTTGAGAGACAGCGGCCTACGGCGTTTGATTCTCGAAAAAGAAAAGAAAGAAAGTGGAGCTCGAAAACTTGACAGATAAGCTGAGCTTGACGATGGGGCGGGGGTGGGAGTCATTTCCCAAGCTTAACTCTGCAGTTGGATTAAAGCATTCGCTTGCAAATAGGGCAAGGACATGATATCTATTTACTTGTTCGCTTTGATGACATCGCACTAATTAGCTCCATGGAAATATCTTGTGTCCACGCTACGTATCGTGTATGTGGGCTGCAAAGGACAAAACATCAAAAAGCCCAGCTGGGTCTGTAATTACAAGTCAACCCCATGCCCTCCGCCAGTCGGTTCTGCAGTAACAAATCTCCCAACAGCAACATAGTCTGCAGTGGGAAATCAGCCTCATGCCAGCCTGTCTCAGTTACTGACCAGCGGTACGCCCGAGTAACAAAAGCCTCAGCTGGTTGTCAGTGCAAAGGGAGAGAGTACTACAGTATAGAATGCGGCTCATACACCCATTCCTGTGTACTGTACATGCTGCTCTTCTTGCTACGTTAAGTAAAAGTTAAGCCTGGCAGTGGGAGGGAGCTTTTAGAGCCCAGAAATAGCAGCAAGGGAGGCGGTACTTAGTGCTGTGACGGGGCATCGGCGGTGCTGGCTGTAGATTCTCTCTCTGAGTCTGTCCCTGGAATGTGCGTTTCGTTTAATAAGGTTTCAAGTGCCAATTGCATAGAGTCACGTCCCTCACCGAGTCTGCGCAAAGGGCGCAGCTGCAGCCCTGAAACAAAATGCGGACGTCAGAGGCTAGAGCTCAGCTTCCTCCATCCCTCCCTTAGTAACCTACATAACTCAGCAGCAGCACTGTGGGAATGGTGACCCAAAAGCAAGAGTTTGAGAGAACAGCTTCCACTTTGTTTACTCTGCACAATCACACACACAGCTCTCTCTATATATTTGGACTACTTCTGGGTTGAATGATGACTTCATGTGCAAATGACAAATGAACAGAACAACATCCCTTTCTCTTTTTGACTGGCTGCAATTGTCAGACGAGCTGTTTGGAATTCTCAGTGCGGAAGAAGGAAGGGAAAAAAATGTCCGCAGGTTGGGGAGGAGAGAGATTGTGTTTCTTTGCTAATCTGCACTAGAAAATGGAAGGGTTGTGGCTGCAAATGACAAGGAAACCTAGAATGTCCCATTTCCGAACCAAATGAAACAATTATTTACAAATCCAGAAGAGCTAAATAGCAATTGTATTTATAATGGTCTTCTACCTTGGCTAAGGCAATGAAAAAACAATCCTTATACATGTACAAGGAAATTACATTACTTAGCGCTTTCGATCTTCCAGGTGCTGTACACATAACTAACTCTCGCAACCCCCTGGCTGTTGGGTATTATTAACCCCTTTTAACAGAGGGAGGAAATTGGGAAAGTTGTGAAGTCAAAGGGATTGGGCCCGGAGTGATTTCCTCAAGGCCACGAAGCGAGTTAGCGTCAGAGGCAGGATTAGAACAAAGGTTAGATTAAATTCCAGCCAAAAATCAACCATCACAAAATTCATCCTATAAAATATTTTTTTAAATCAAGTAAGGTGGCATTGTTTTTGAAAACACTTTTGCTCAATAAAAAGATTTTTTTCAACCCTGCCTGACATAATTAGCACTTCTCTCCTCAGAGCACTTCACAAACACTTCCTAGGCTGCAAAGAAGATGGGGAAAGGAGCGAAAAGACCCCTATTTGCATCCCATTCACATGTGCAAGCCCTTGCCGCTCCCCCACCCTCGGCTGACTAGGAAGGAGCTGGCTATTCTTGCAGCTCTTGTTGTCTTGGGACTCTTGGCAGAAGTTCAAGGAGCAGCACCAGCAGCAGGCGGCCAAAGGAGAGGGCGCCCAGCGCGCAGGCGCTTCGAGGCACTGTCGAAGAATCGAGTCACTGGAGCAGAGCGCACAGGCGGCGGCTGCTGCTGCTGCTGCCGGAGTCCCCGCCCCAGAGCGAGCGCCCGGGCTGCAGTAGTGAGCGAGCGAGCGGGACAGGCGGAGTGAGCCGCGCGCTGGAGTAGGCAGCCGAGGGTGCAGCGACGGGGCTATGCGCTTTCCCGCGTCCCAGTGACTCCAGCCGGGAGGCGTCCGCGCCCAGGAGCCCGCTTGTTTGCAGGGGGCGGGCAATCGGCTGAAGATCCTGCGGCAGCTGCAAAGCCGGAGCCTGCCCGTTTGGTCTCCGGTTGCTGGAGGAGGAGGAGGAGGAGGACGCGCGGGGGGCGCTCGCTGCCCCTGGGCTGGGACATGTCGTCCGCGGCGGTGGCGGCTGCTTCCCGCAGGCAGTCGTGCTACCTGTGCGACCTGCCCCGCATGCCCTGGGCCATGATCTGGGACTTCACCGAGCCCGTCTGCCGGGGCTGCGTCAACTACGAGGGGGCCGACCGGGTGGAGTTCGTCATCGACACGGCGCGGCAGCTGAAGCGGGCTCACAGCTTCCAAGAGGGCCGGGCCCCGCCGCCGCCCCACGCCAAGCAGCCACCGCTCAGCGCTAAGGAGATCCTGGTGCAGCAGCAGCAGCAGCTGAACCACACGGCCGTGGCGGGCGACGCGGTGCCCCGGCCCCAGCCGCAGCCCCTGGAGCGCTACCCGCTGGCGGCCGCTGCCGCCGCCGCCGCCTCCGAGCGGCAGCCGCCCCGCCTGGGAGCCGAGTACGGCAGCAGCCGGCAGGTGAACGGGATCCTGGTGCCCAACGGGTTCCCCAAGCCCGAGGAGCCGCCCGAGCTGAACCGGCAGAGCCCGAACCCGCGGCGGACACACACGGTGCCGCCCACCCTGGTGCCGCTGATGAACGGAGCTTCCTTGTCCGCGCCCATCAGCATCAGCAGCCGGGCCGCCGCCGCCGCCTCGCTGGCCGCCATCTCAGGGGCGCCCGCCCCCATGCAGGTCTCCGTTTCCCAGCAGCAGCCGCCGCCGCCGGCGCCCGGGGAGCTGGGGCACAAGCGGCCCGGCTCGGTGTCCTCCAGCAGCGGCGGCGGCGGCGGCGGCGCGGGCGAGCACGAGAGCAAGGAGAAGCAGCCGCGGGGCTCGGCGGAGGAGCTGGGGGTCGAGGGCAAGGGCCGCGGGGGAGCGGAGCAGGAGTGGCTGGGCAAGCCCAAGACGGTGCGGGACACGCTGCTGGCGCTGCACCAGCACGGGGGCCACGCGGTGCCCTTTGAGAGCAAGTTCAAGAAGGAGCCCGGCATGGCTGGGAGCAGGCTGCTGGGGTACGAGAGCAACGGGGCCGTGGCCAAAGCAGGTGAGGGGGAAAGAGGGTGTCGCCCCCCCCCCCCCATAGCCAACTCCGACCTCCTAACTCCACTTCCTGGTGCCTAACGCGGCACCGTTGCTTAGGCGGCAACGTGTTCATGTGCTGAAGCAGCACAACAGAGAGCTATGAGTCAGGGCTGGCGGGTAGACACTGACAGGGAGAGGGCTTTCCCTCCCTGCGACGTCCTCGCCATAGGAGCTGCAGTGAAGGCACCAGTAACCTTTTCGCCTACTAGCTGCGCTGTAGGGGTGTGCTTCTGCAGGTTGCATGCCTGCAAGTGGTGGGTGAGTGCGCACATGCACAAGTTGTATAGACCACACACACATACTTTGGCTGTGTGCCATGTTGTGTGTATGTATTTGCATACGTCATACTGTATAATTGGTATTTGTGTGCAATGCCCTGGCTGTGTATTCATTTAAAATGGAAGCCTTTTCAAGCTTGATGTGTGTAGCTGTAACTCCTTTATAGCTGCATTCATCTGATTGCTGCTTATTATTATTTTTTTTTCCTTACACATTTCTCCTCCCCATTCCTTTGTATTGCTAGGGGCTCGGGCAGCGAGGAAGAGGAAGCCTTCCCCAGAACCAGAAGGTGAAGCTGGACCGCCTAAGATCAATGGAGAGTCACAACCCTGGTTGCCAACCTCATCAGAAGGGATGAAAATGTCCATGACTGCTACGTCTTTCATGTCCCCACCACCACCAACTGCCTCGCCTCATTCCAACCGGACCACACCGCCTGAAGCAGCCCAGAATGGCCAGTCTCCTATGGCTGCGCTCATTTTAGTAGCAGACAATGCAGGGGGCAACCACTCCTCCAAAGATGCCAACCAAGTTCACTCCACCACCAGGAGGAATAGCAACAGCCCGCCCTCTCCGTCCTCTATGAACCAAAGAAGGCTGGGTCCAAGCAGGGAGGTGCCAAGTCAGGGGACAAACACTGCTGGGGGATTGGAGCCGGTGCATCCTGCCAGCCTCCCGGACTCGTCTCTAGCAGCCAGTGTTCCCTTGTGCTGCACCCTGTGCCACGAGCGCCTGGAAGACACCCATTTTGTTCAGTGTCCCTCAGTCCCTTCCCACAAGTTCTGCTTCCCTTGCTCCAGACAAAGCATCAAACAGCAAGGAGCTAGTGGCGAGGTGTATTGTCCCAGTGGGGAGAAATGCCCTCTGGTGGGCTCCAATGTCCCTTGGGCTTTCATGCAGGGGGAGATTGCGACCATTCTTGCAGGAGATGTGAAAGTGAAAAAAGAGAGAGACTCGTGACTTTTTCCAGTTCACAACCCAACATTACCTGTAACTAAAACTGCTTGAATTGTGTATATATCTATAAATATATATATATATATATATATATATATCTCCAAGACAAGGGAAATGTAGACTTCATAAAACATGGCTGTATAATTTTGATTTTTTTGAATACATTGTGTTTCTATATTTTTTTGAAGACAAAAGGTATGTACTTAAAGGCATTTCCTCTTTTTGTTATTAGCAACTATTTGTTGTGCTTCCTTGGTGACAGTTACTGTTCAATGTAGGCTGTGACTTGCGCTGCTTTTTTTAGAGAGCACTTGGCAAACCAGAAATGCTTCTAGCTGTATTTGTATGCACTTGTTTCTTTTTAAAATGCCAAATACATTTTCTGACATTGTAAAGATCGCCTTACTGTCTGTGATTCCTTATTTTTGGGCCTTGCTCAGAGTAAAGCTGGATGTGTGCAGATTTGATATAAAATGGTAGTGGGGAAAAAAGACTGATAGGGTGAAATGGGATGTCACCATTACAGCTGAAAGGCAGGTGAATATTAGAAAGCACAAGTGGTTTCTTTCTGAAACATTGTTCTCTTGTTGCAAAAGCAAGTTTTTTAGACTGAGTCCAATTCCCCTCTGTTTCTAGAAGGAAGTTGCCTTCATAGTAGGATGTTGAGAGATGTTTGAGAGGCGCTGCTGAGTTAGGGATTTCTGGGTTGTTTGCCTTTTAGGAAAAAAAAGGCAAAGTTGACCACAGTTCACGTGATTGGTTGTAAGATTACAGAACTGCATTTATTCATTGATTACATAATGTTAATGCAGAATTTTGGTAATAAACTTAATTACTGTATTGGTGTATACACCAGTATAGCACTGCCATCTTTAAAGATCCATAGCTGTTTTAGTGCCACTCACATACTATTTATGCTTGGGGAAAACTAAAGTTGTGGGTTTTTTTGTTTTGTTTTTTTTTTAATTTGCACATAGTGCAGGTGGACTTTGAGTTTGCTTATGAGTTACTTATAGTACTGTTGGTATTGTTAACTATCTCTTACATCATATTTCCAGGTAGTGGCAGGTACAAGATGGTACAATGACAGAAGCAACTGAGGTGCTGCCAGGATTGCCTTCGGGCATTTCAGTGACAGCCCAAATGTGGGTGGAAGAAACCTGTAATCTCTGTTATGTGTGTTTTTTAAAACAAACCTAATACTACTTTTCTGAAAATGAAAAAATAAACTGGTGGAATGAAAGCAATTAGGATTTCACAAAAGGGGCATGCCCCGCCTTTTTAACTACTTTGGAGTACTCTTTGTAAAGTCATTTCTTTTGATCAAGCTTCTGCATCAATCAGCAAGCAGACTTTTTTTTAATCAATAAATCATTACTAGAAATGGCTAAGTCTTATAGTGATGTTTTTGTGCTGTTTAGTTCATTAGCAACACTGCAAAAACCCTGATGTTTAGGTGTGTTTAACTTGGTCATAAACAATTGTTCTGGGCAGAAACACGACTACAAGTTCTCATCCCTGGGGCAAATAATATAATTTTTCCAATTTTTTTAGGGAAAAAAAATCTGTTCAACTAACTTTAACAGTTTGGGATGCTTTTTAATCTAGTGTTATGATCATATTCAGGCTGCTATTTAATGCAGAGTAGATCGTTTGGGGAAGATGTTTTTTAATGGTCATTATTAATATTTGAAACTCAGAACTGCACATCCATAGTCATTTTTTTATTAAGTGTTTCAATGAGCACACCACTAACATGTTTCTTATTACAGGTCAATGTAATATTAAATACAGACTTGCATGGTAAACCAATTCATTGAGTCAATATTACGCTTTAAAATTATACCTATAGTTCAGATTGGTGTCTTATGTAAACATGCAGACAAGTTGGAAAAAAACGCACATATATACAACTGTAAAGGATACTTTGGAACACTATGGTCTCTGTAAATGTGTATTTAGCACTTTATTAAAAAATGGATTTCAAGCCGATAGATGGTAACAAGTTCTTCAGAG